CCCCAAAACCCCAAAACCCCAAAACCCCAAAACCCCAAAACCCCAAAACCCCTCGACAGCATAAATCAAAGAAAAAGATGATGTATTAATAATTTTAAGTAATCTTATTACGTGTAAGTCCTTCTCTTTGAACAATTCATGAATTTTCTTTAGATATGGAATCCACTCACGACACCGGTGATTTAGGAAGAATCTACTCTACTGGAGATATTGCCAAGATCTACGCGGCCATCTTCAAGTCTATGGAGGAGATCACTGATATTATGAGATATGAGCCTGTATCGAAGACTACGACTAAGAACGATTTCGGTGAGCAACAATTAAACGTAGACAAGGAGACTGACGAAATCATCTACAAGAATCTGAAGGAATCAGGAGTCGTCTACAATGCATGCTCTGAGGAAAGTATTTACCCACAAGTGCTGTGTGAAGACGGAGGATACACTGTCTGCTTTGATCCTCTTGATGGAAGCTCCATCGTTGACGCAAACTTTGCAGTTGGATCTATCTTTGGAATTTGGAAAAAGACCGACTTAATTGGTGAAAGTTGCAGAAATATGATTAGTTCATGCCTCGGAGTTTATGGCACCAAGACAGTTGCTCTCATCTATAACCAAGACAAGGATGAGGTAGATGAGCTTACCTACAGAAGAGTCGATGGAGCTTACAAGTGGGTAGTCACTGAAGAGAACATTAAGATATGCGAAAAAGATGCGAAGACTTTTGCTCCAGGAAACTTGGCAGTTACAAAAGAGCTTCCAGGATACAAGCATGCTGTAGATCACTTCATTAAGTCAGGAATGAAGCTCAGATACTCAGGAGGTATGGCTCCAGATGTGTATCATATCTTCCATAAGAAAGAGGGAGTCTTCCTTTACCCAGGAATCAAAGAGAAGAAGATTGCTAAGCTAAGAGTGCTTTATGAGTGTGCCCCAATTGCATTACTCGTTGAAAAAGCAGGAGGAATGGCAACTGATGGTCACATCCCAATCCTAGATCTTGTTGTTGATGGATACGAGATGAGAACACCCGTCTATTTAGGATCCAAGAATGATATTGAACTTGTAGACAAATTCATTAAAGAGGCAGAAGATAAAGGTGAACAAGCAGTTGATCCATAAATCCTTAATACTTAGCTCCATAATATTGCAGAGATCTTAATTCATTAGTATAGCTTTCAGCATTGGTTGTACTATAGCCTTAATTTTAATTTTGTGATAGGTTGCCACTAGTTTTCCATCGAATCCTGTTCTTCGCTAACCTCTCAAGAGCCTTGCTTGCTCTCTAGAAGCCTTTAGACAGTATATCTGATCTCTACCAGAGATATCTAACATTATTTTGGCTTATTCGAGTCTTAAGCCTCATTTAGATATGTTTTAATGGTGAATCACCAATAGAAATTTTTGATGAAAGAACAATACTACCACCATTTCGATATCAATCCTAATTAATATATATGGGGTTTTGGGGTTTTGGGGTTTTGGGGTTTTGGGG